CCCAGAGTTCCTCAGCCAGCTTTGCTGGCTGAGGAACTCTGGGAGTTGAAGTCCACAAGTCTTAAAGTTGCCAAGGTTGGACACCCCTGCTGTAGATGATTCTGTGCATGTTTATTGAGGATTAATTCCTACTGAAACCACCTGGTTTTATCTTCCTAGCAAATAGATTTAGGAGTACAGCCTTAAAGTGGAATTTTATACATATCTCCAGGAAACAAGGCTCTCTTCTTCTAAATGTGTTTTAATTGATTTAATTTTAATTACAATTTTATTTTTGCATTTGAATAATGTTTATTATTTCTTTATTGCTTTGAGATATTTTGGAAGTAGAATAAAACAATTTAATAAATAATAACTTATGAAAGGGAGTTTGTTCATTTCTGAATTATATGACTTTGTGATATTCAGTGCTTAGGGACAAACTTGCTTTGGCATGAATAATTTAATGTTTCTTATAAAAATTCTATTTTCTGGTTTTCTTTCTTTAAAGTATTGATTCTGTATTCCAGAATTTTCTTAAAACTTGGAACTTTCAGAAACTCCCAGAATTTAAAGCCTGCATGGGAATATGGAATTTCATGCTACTAGGATTCTGGGAACTTGAAATTCAGTGGAGCTTGAGCATGCTTAGTTGGATAAGCTTATTGTCTTCTGCAATAGATAATTAACAAGCTGGCTTGTTTTATGAAATGTATATCATTCACGTGTTTAACTGTTATTTTTTTTAACTTTTTTCAAATGAAATTTAAATCTTCCCTACAGAGAAACACATTCCAGGCTGTTTTAGTGTCTTCTGATTCTAGTTCCTATGCGATTTTCCTTTATCCAGAGGATGGTTTGCAGTTCTATAGTACACATTCCAAAAATGATAACACAGTTGTTCCAGCAACTGTTGGCTTTAGTCAACCTTCTATATCTTACTTCTTATGGGAAAAAGCTGGATCATACAATATAATTGCTAACGATGAAGAGATCCTAAGGAACCTGTGCATGTATGTGGTTTTCATTATTTTTTCCAAAATAATTTTCTATTTCCTAGTAATTCTATACATCTTGAGAGTGTACTTCTATGAATAAAATTTTACTCTTTTAAGTTGTATAACATGAAGGACTCAGAAATTGTAAGTGGAGATATAGCTATGAATTTATAATGTGCCTAATCTTTTTCCTAATGTAAGAGGCAGGTTTCTTTTTTAAAAAATAGCCTAATGGACACTTAAGACAAAAAGAGGATAGAGTAAGAAGAGATATGGTGGCATCAGTGTGTGTGAACATATTAGATGTTCTTACATACATTACTTAGAAGTTACAGAACGTGTTCAAAGTTAATAACATGTGAGTAGCATTTCATATTGGAAACTGCAAGGATGTATTCAGACCCCACCTGAAGCAGCGAGTTGCTATAGTAAGTGCCAGTGTGGACCTTATGCACGTTTATTGGGATAAAAGTTACAAGAAAACAAAATATATTTAGTTAAAAACTTTATGCACTACTAGGATTTTTTTAAATAATAAAGCAATGCAAATTGATAGTTTTTCTTATTCAAAGAGAGAAAGGCTTATAACATTTGCCAGTCCAAATGCTCACCATCTTCCTAGGAACTTCAGTTGATCTTCCTCAGACAACACCAGTTCCAAGAAATAGGATAACAGTTGTAAGTTTCCAACTTTTATTCTGCAGCTTGAAAGGCATGATTCTGAAATAAAAATATACATTAAACAGAAATGGATTTCCTATCTCTCAAAAATTCAGGTCTCTGGTGTGCTCTGTATATTTGTGTATACTGTATGTGTATATTTACTTTTTCTAAGTTCATAAGTAATACCCCTTTAAATATTATTTAGTCTTGTCCAATAAATTTTACCATCAGACTCCCCATTTAGAGTTGAACAAAGCAATTCATGAGGATTATCTTACCCCAGCTATATTTGTAATTTGTGGTGTGGAACTTAATTCTTTAAAATATAAAAAAATTACAATGCTTGAGCATACTTTGGTTAATGTATAGTTAGTTTTTGTTTTGGTTTTTTGGTTTTTAGGGCCAGCAATTTGGGACAACCTGGAGTTTGGGCATTTGAGATTGGTGGCTCAAATGACATCCTATCGGCCAAAGCTACTCAGTCTCCTGCCAGTGTAGAATACAATGACTATGAGCAATTCCAGGAAGTGACCCTACACCCTTCCATTCTTCACCAAGATCCCATTGAAGTAAGCCATCCAGAAGTCTCCTATGATGTTTCTGACAGAGGAGATAATTTTCAGACTGGATACAGCTTACCTGAGCCAGCAATAGAAGATAATTTTCAGCTTCCATACCAAACTTTAACTGATCAGCCTCCAGTTAAACTTCCACTCCCAACAGGGAAAAATCCACCTCTACGGTTTCCAATCCATCAATTTCCCAACCAGCACACTCAGATTATTGAAGTAGAAGAAGATGATGAAACTGGAATTGGTAAGTTCACCTAGCAAAATCTCTTTTGATTATCTTTCATAAATACAGTTCTATAAGCTGTTTCATGAGATATAAAAGTATTTATTTACAGAGTATCCATTGTATGATGAACAACAGATATGAAGTAATTTCCCCCCAACCGTTTCTAAATACGCATGGGCATAGGAAGTATTACAAGTCTCAAAGCATATGTCATTCACCTGCTAACTTTGCATCATATAAAAAAGCCCTCACTTGCATGTTGTTGATGTCTCCTATGTGAGCTGCCTTTACTACCATGCTCCTCCAACAATACAGCCTCCCCCAATAGGAAGTCCCAGCATGTTTTATAGGCATAAAATGAAATTAAGCCCCTCCCCCCAAATTAAGGCCTATATTAAACATGAGACATGGGGGAGATGGCGGGGGGCTTGCTGTTAGGAGCACCCCACA